GCTGACTTAAAATCAATGAAGAGGCACTTTGGAAATGCATCTGAATAGTTCGGTTACAACAACTCACACTCCATGGGGAAAGAAGGGTAAAAAGCATAAGAGAAACAACCCATATGAAGGCTGGTTCTTGCTAGAAAAGGGCACTGGCCAAGGAATGAGTTAAGACATCATAATGAATGAGGATCTATGTGTCATGTGCAGCCCTGGATAATGTTCATAACTGTGGGCAAATTCCTGGTTAAGTACTTTAAAGTTGGTCTTGGTTTCTTCATCAACATGGTGGGAAAAATGAAATTTTATCACATAGGGTTGCTGATGTAAAATGTAGAGTGCGTCCCATCAAGCTGGGTAAAGAACAGGACTGGTGAATGATAGAGATCGAATGATTCTGAATGGTATAAGCCTTTGCTTACTTCTGTGATGCCACCTCTTGCTATTTTTTCCCCAATGTGCTGAGCTCCAGCTGTCAAGTTCATTCAAGTCAAGTTCATTCCAGCCCCAGAGCATTTGCACCTCCAATTACCTATGTCCTACACACTATTCCCCCAGGTCATATTGATCATGGATTCCTTCTTTGCCAGTCACAGGACTCACCTCTTTCTTCAAATCTTCTCTTCCTATCCATCGCACTCCATCACCCTCTGGCTGGTCTCTATATTTATTATCCTTAAATCTGCCTAATTCATGTATATATGTCTCCTTGTTTATTTTCTAGTTCCTTTAAATAACACAAAAACATTATCAGTATTGGGCATTAACAGACACAGGTCTGTTTGACAGTGTCAAAAAATATGCTTCTGTGAACACTGCAGTACTGTTGAGAAATTAAACCATTCAGCAAATAGAGGAACTGATGCTACTTCATCTTCCTCTGGTGATTGATAGATGGTTTCTCCCACATGGACACAGATTAGAAAGAAAGAAAAGGGGCTGTCTCCCAAGGCCAAGTTAGTTTGGAAACTCCAATGCCTGCTATGTCCAGAACTGCATTCTGGGAAGGAAATGTCAGGACATGAGCATTCTGTTTGAGAAAGGACTGGCATCTGGAAAAACAGCACAGACTAATATTACAGACACTGTTGGGGGAAAACAAGCATGATCTCAGGCCTTTGTAAGAGATACCCTAGTCTGGCTGTTTAGGGCTGGAGCTCCCAAGAAGGGTTCTGCCAGGGCATGGATTGAAATGAGCAGACATAGAAAACTTCACCACTGGCTCTTACTCAATGTGCTTGACTCTCTTGTGCCATTGGGTTTTGAAATTCTGCATAGGAAGAATAAAATCTGATTTGAAAACAAAACCATTGTCCATTCCTTGTATTTTAGGTGACAAGGCAGAAGCCCACGGAGAAGAATGGGGACATGTGGCTCTCATTCTGCTCCTGACTGCTGGGGTGAGTCTTTCCATTGGCCCACACTCAGAAGAAAGGGTGGGCAATGACATTTAAATAAACATTTTCAGACAATGGCTCACCTACCTACTCAGGAGACTGAGACCTGAGGATCCTGGTGCAGTGCTAGCCTAGATGGGAAAATACATGAAACTCTCATATCTAGTTAACTACAAAAAAGTTGTAAGTGGAACTGTGGTTCAAGTGATAGACACCAGCCTTGAGTAAAAAAAAATGGTAAGGGACAGTACATAGGCCTGGAGTTTCAATCACAGTACTGACATACACACACAAGAGATTCCAGCAAAGAGACACATGCCTCATAACCTCAGCCCAAGACTTCTGAACTGCAAAGATCTTTGATTTGTGTCCTGAGAATGGCCAAGCTTGCTCCCTATCCTCTACTCTCAGGATAATCATGCAGAGAGATCTAGCCTAGTGCATAAGGCCTTAAGGGAAGTGATGGGCAGATAAACAGACATCCAAGGGTCCTGGGCTTATGGCTTGATATAAAATAACCTGATATTGGAGAAGAAAAGTTCTTTGGCTTCAAAGACAAATAGCTTTTTGAGAGATGCACTGGGCTCTGAGGTTTCAAAAAAGCTGCACAGTACTGAGGCATGAGGGTTGATTTTGACTTTGACTTTGATGTTTTATTACATAATCAAAATTCAGCTATGAGTATTAGGATTTAAAATTTCCTTTAATATAGCATTTAAACATGTACAGAATGCATTCATATAAACATATGTGCAATATATCAATATCTGTCAATAAATAAAATTCATCAATTAAAAAAACTGTGCAGGCTTCTGTTTTTCCAAGCTAATATTCCTGGGAACTGCATCAAAAAGTTGATAATCATAAAACCATGCATGTTTTCCATGGGAACAGAATCAGGGATCCTAGAGCCTTCAAAGCCTTAGTTTTAAATAAATCATAGATATAACTAACAATTTCATAAAACCAGAGATAAATCCATCATCAAATTTTGCAACTTTTAGAAATGCTAAAATTACATTCTGGATAATAGGCACACATGTATTTTATATATATCAATATATATATATATATATGTTGATTATGCAAGGGGGCACAGTGCATTCTAAACTGTACAAATCCCCAGTCTGCAGCTGTACTTTCTTGAAATGTAAACAAAATTAAGATATTAGCTAGAATAATATTAAGTTATCATTTACATAGACCATTAGGTTCAGGAATAATATCAAAAGTTATCTTGTTCAGCTTCTTAGTAGAGTCTATGCAACCATCTTGCTAGTTGGCCATCCATAATGAGCATTTGTTTTACTTTTCACAATATGGAAATTAATTTGATGACCCAGGACCTTTTTCTAAATACATTTTACATGGCACACTGGAATAACAAATTAGGTCATTTGACTTGGAAGTTAGGCTTGTTCTCACCAACAATTGACCTAGAGTCCCCATCTCTCTCCATTTACCCCTTTACAATGAAAACCACAAAATTATTTGAAATGAGAGTATTTGTGACATATAAATTTGTGTGCTGGACAACCTGGAATGATCAAACGAGGAGGGGCAGGTTTGGAAGAACTGTCACATAAAAGCTGCTCCAGAGAGATCATTTTCAACATAAAAAGCTCCTTCTCTGAAATTACTTACCTCTTCATGAATAAACTCGTAGCCCTTGCAAGCTCAGGTATATGCCACAGTAATTCAAACCATTGAAAATAATAATAAACATATAAAATATAACAGTTTATGTTTTACACAATCAAAATTCAGCTATGAGATTCTTCCACCGCAATTATTTGTTTCTGCATCATGAGTAAGCAGAGAAGATCCTTTCTGAGGTTAGAATGTTCACTATTGGATCTGCTTAGTAAGTCAATCACTGATTCAGTGTCCAGTTCCTACATGATACCTCCCCTCACCCTGTGCTCAGTGAGTACAGTGTATGGGCAGCCATAATCTCAAAAGCTTGCAGTCTCCTTCTTTGAATGAAAAAATATCATCCTCAAAACGGTGAGCTGAGTGCAGAGTCAGGCTGTAAATTCGAACTTAAATTGTCTACATATTTGACAAAAGCAGGTCCCCAGTCACAGCTGCTCCATTGATCAGTGACATCTCAATCTTCTCAAGGAACGTCTCAGCATGGAGTGATATTTCTTGGCATCACCCAGAAGTTCTGATGAACAGTGTTCTTCCAGTCTGCATCCTTTCCCTACAGCACACTTTTCTTCCTCACAGAATTAAGACTTCAGAGGACCGGCAGTTCATTCTTTTTGGTATTTAGATGTGTTTGGCAATGTTCCCTTCTTCTATCCAAAGTCTATTTCCTGTCAAGTTTGAATCCAGAACAAAAGTAAACAACAATAAGATGAAAAGTAACACCTCATGAAGGGCAAGAGAAAAAGAGATGCTATTAAACCCCAGCCAAGATAAAAGTAAAGACCTCACACATGCATGGCCCTGGGAAGTGGCATTTTCTTCCTGGAAACTGCTCAGAGGCAGCTAGAAAGAACACAGACTCAGCTTTGAGTGAATGATATCCATCCAGATTAACTGGAAGGGAAAAGCTGACAAGGTCAGGTGTCTTGAAGGCCCAAATGCAGAGGGCAGTTCCTTTGAGACAAAGCCGAAAGGCAGGCAGGCCATGGCTTTTCGAGGTAGCAGATGGCTGTAGCAGCATCCTATTGTCCTAGAAACGGAGTTGGAAGATGTAGAAATGAGGTTCAGAAATGGAAGGATATTGTTCACCAATTCACAGCATAGTAGGAACAGAGCCAGGGCCACACATCCAGGTCCTGTGGCTTGACATCAGATGTGTTCTAACTCCCAGTACTGCTGGGCTCTGCACTCCTCCAGCTGGGGACTGTAGAGTAAGGAGGCCACACAGTGTGAACTTCCAGGGGTTTTCTCCTTTGAGAGCAACATGGCCAGATTCAAGGATCATTCCTTGGTTCTGTGGTATCACTTTCACAGAGAAGATTCCAAAGTCTCACAATTGCCCAAGGCTCTTTGGGAGAAGATGTTCCCAATGGGAGCATGTAAGCATCTCATTTGAGACAGACCTGTGGCCCAATGCTGGGGGAAGCTGACTGTCTCCAGCTTTCTGCAGAGACCATTTTCCACCGACAGATCTCTGTTCAGCTGTCTTCCGCGGTAAATAACCACAACATTCCCCGAAGAGAATGGCTGATGCTGGAAAGAGCAAGCAAAGAGCAAGGGGACACCTACAACTGATACAGGGATGCCCAAGAGGATACACATTCAGACCCAGACATAGGGAAGCAAATTCACTAGTGTCTGGCACAGAACAGCGTGAAGAAGGGCAGTTTAAACGTGGCTGGGACCATGCGACCAAGACAAGGACAGGGAAGATACGTTTTGACAATGTCTGTGAGCAGACACAGCAAAGGTATACTTGAAAACAGCTGTGACTCCAATAGGAAAGATAGAGTGACCCATAGCAAGACAGATATGGCACAGTGAGAGGAACAGGTAAGAATGCAAACTCCAAGAAGGGAGAATACTGGGAAATGAAAAGTGAACAAGAAGGCCCTTTTGACCTTTGACCCCCCCCCAAATGCCACCTGCTGGAATCTCATAGGCAAAGCCTGGCATGCCCAGGTGCCTGCACCAGCTGATCAAAGCCTTGAGTGATGAGGAGAATGCCAGGTGCAATCAGGCACAAGCAGCATCCTAGAGGATCTAGCTCTCTCTCTCAGAGCCACAGATGTCTTCTGGGTCATTGTCCCCGGGGCCTAAGTGTCACTGGGCTGAGCAGCCACCAAAGGAGATGTTGCTGGGGGATGGCACTGATTCTCCCACTGACCACCACACTCCACTGCATCCCTGGAGAAGGAGAAGATTAGAGAGCCTCAGCATTGGAATGGGTGCCAAGGAATACTCTGTGAAAAACCCCACCATGCAGGAACCATATTGAACCATGCAGATGGGTGGCCATTTGGCCTTTGCTTAAGAACCTCCAGTGAAGGGCTAGCCTGTCATTATGTTTAAGCAACTTCAGCTGATAGAAGTAACCTATCAATTGGTAAGCTAACTTGAACCCCCTGCCTTGTAAAACTATTTTAAAATGAGAAATGAAAACAAAATGAAAAACTGAATATGAATGATCAATGAAAATCTGCCTTCCTATAATTTTAGCCAGTGGAATTACTGTACCTTCCAGGGCTACTCAAAATTCTGCTTTATTAAATCCTCCAAGTTTTATCTTCTCCAGGCTACACATTTCCATTTTCTTTAACAGTTTATTATATATTACAGTTACAGGATTATATCCATCAGAACCATGTCCTGTGGTAACAATTATGATGGTCTCTCTTAAACTATGGTATCAGGAAGGAGTATAAATCTTCCTAATGAGCTTAAGACATTACGTCCTTTCTTTTATGTTTAGATTATTTTATTGTGAATCAAGTCAAATTTAATTTTTTAAACAATGATAACATCTTTTTGGCTGACACCAAGTTTGCTGCTAATTTTTTCCTGCTTGACATGACAGCTGTTAATTCTTGTGGTTCTTTATGTTGCTAGGATTGTGTACTTGAGTCAACATACAGGGCATTATATTTGTCTCCATTCAACTTGAATTTATTAGTTTAGAAACATTTTGGTCTACATTATAACAAACCAGACTTTAAATATTTTTTTCAAGCACGTAAGAATATCAGATAATGCTACACATGCCACTTTCATGTCATCTAATTTTTGGGTTTTCAATCATTGTCAACATGTTGAGTAGTACAGGGACACAACAAAGAATCATATAAGCACATCACACTCAGTGTGCCTGAGGATGCACACATCCGTGTCACACATCCTGTGATACACTAAAATGTCTCTGCCAAATAAGCATTTTGTTCTAAAAGATCAGGAAATTATTTGATAGGAACTATTTTTAATGTAACAACTCTAACTCTATCACAAATCATTTGTGTTAAGTGGCTACAGATTTTGGTTAAGTCTATTTCAAGCATGAGTCTGTGGTTTCTGGAATTAGCTTTAAAAGTCTTTCTTTAAGAATTGGGCAATGGGCTGGGAAGGTGGCTTCATGGTAGATCCTTGCCTTGCACGCATGAGGCCCTGGGTTTGATTCCTCAGCACCACTTAAGTAGAAAAAGCTGGAAGTGGCACTGTGGCTCAAGTGGTAGAGCGCTAGCCTTGAGCTGAAGAGCTGAGGGACAGTGTCCAGGCCCACAGTTCAGGCCCACAACTGACCCCCCCCAAAAAAAAACCTGGGGCAATATGTACATGTTTCCAGGCTTCTAACATTTTACCAATCCTAATGAGTACCATTTACAGGTGCTATAATCCATTAGATTTAAGGCCCTCAGATTTAATACATCTTGGTTCAAAGATGTTACTGCTTTGCATCAATTCTGAAAACTTTTCCCTACAATGTCCCCCCTTCCTCCAGTTAGAAGTCTTATTCTTATTGCAGCAGAAGATACAACATTTCTTCTCTCAATAATGAAATCTAACTGTTCCCATTCCTAGGCTTGCTACTTGTCTTAGTTAAAGCTTTTGATTCATTCTTGGTTATATATCCATTCTTCCAGGCTTTCTACATGATATTTGAAAGTATAAACTCTAGATAACCCAAAGTGTTTCTTCACATTGTTATATGAATGACCTTAATTTATCTCATTGGTCGAATAGATGTGTTAAGGAAGAGAGGAAGGAAGGAAGGAAGGAAGGAAGGAAGGAAAGAAGGAAGGAAGGAAGGAAGGAAAGAAGGAAGGAAGGAAAGAGGGAGGGAGGGAAGGAGGGAAGAAGGAAAAAAGAGAGGGAGGAAGGGAGGGAAGACTAATTTTTTTTGGCCAAAATCCCTCTGTAATGACCCAGCCTTTACTCCTTGAAAGACTTTCAGCAGGGCAATGGGAGTGTGAGAATAAAGACAGGGTTATTTGATGACCCTGGTGACCTGTAATAGTCTTGGCCTGGATTGCTATAAGGCATAATTGTTAACAGCAGTTTAATGTCAGTTTAGTTATTGCTCAAGATTAAAAATAATATAAGGCATTATATTGTTCCAGAAAAGATTGGCTTCTGATATAAAAGCTTATACTCAAAGCATATGGCCCTAATACTCTTTCCTTTGAACACTTCTTTCTCTTACAGGTCAAGGTCCCATGGCAGAGAGCATCAATGTGAGCAATAAACTAAAAGACAGGACCTGGATTCGAAAGAGATTTTTAGCCTCTAGTTGTGTGTCTCTGGTGACATGGTCCCTTCCCTGTGGCTTACTTGACCAGTTTACTAAATGAGGGGGAGATAGTCCACAAGATCTGTGGAAGCACTGACATTCTGATTTTGTGAGTAGCAGGGATGGTGGGTGACAGATAAAGACCTTCTGATTAGGTGGCAGCTGTGTGTGGAGGACTGTTCTCCAAAGCTGTGAGTAATTGCTTCAAAATTTGGCTTTTAATATGCTATTGTTAGTACGTGATACTTTTTATGCCATGTGGAGAGAAGAGGCTCTGCTGAAAACACAGGGAGGGTGATCTATTTATTTATTTATTTTGCAGTTGTATTAAAGAATCTGCAAGACCTCAATTTCAGAATCTGTGAAATTGTTCTGCCAAGTTGTTAAATGGGTCTGAGTACGATGCCACAGGGTGGGGCTGAGACACCCCAAATTTAAATGTAGGGAGATCACAACTGCCTTTTCCCAAACATATGCTTGATCAAAAACATTGGCAGCGCTGCTTAAAATCCCTGATGCAAAACATCATTAAAAACCATCTCTCTTCAGTATCCTAAAAGAGGAGGTTTTAAAAAGGCAGGTTCTTGTTTGTTAGTCTTAGCAAGATCATGACGATTTGCAGTGGTCATTATCTCCCTTTTCTACATTTTGTATTGAGGATCATAAGGAAGGAATGTGCACAGAATTCTTTCCATTTCAGAGGAAGAGGCGAACACCTGGTAAAGACAGGGGTTGATTGGCAACCAGTGGAGTGGATCTGGTGCTCTAAATTGGGATTTTTGCCCAATTCTGCCTCCCAAATCAGAAGGTCTCTCCATTAGGGAAAGTGGAAATCACTGGTGTGGTGGGGAGTTTGGTGATGGAGTTTGACACAAAACTGACTGAGAGTTGCCGGGCCTCCATAAGGTGAAGGAGAAGGCAAAAAAGGCAGGAGAATTTCTAGCTAGGTCATCTCTCTCAAAGGTCCAGAGACTATATGTGAAGAATTATACTGTGTACCTGCAACATACAGATTCCTTGGTCCTGCACATCAGTCCTCTTACAGCAGGGCAGGAGGCCAGGTAGGAGTGAGGAGAAGATATCTGAATTAAAAACTGTTCTCAGTTGAATCCTATGTTTGCAGGAACATGAGCTTTTCTGAGCAGTTATCAAGCTTTTCTACTCATGGATGAGGTAGACCTTAAACAGAGACCTAAGGTGCTGTAGATAAAGTACAGCTGAGTCCAAAGGGCCAAAACGTGTTTTTTTCATTCACCATGGCTATTTCTTTGGTTTTATTTCCAAGGCAATGTCTCACTCTGTGACCCACACTCCATTCAGTGCTGATATTTATTCTAAAGAGAATAAAATATGAAATATAAAATATCCCATCAGAAAGTGGACAAGGAATATTTATTTGTTTTCATGATAATGAAGATGAAAAGCTAATGTGCTTGGCAGAAAATCATAAGAATGAGAAAGCAGACATGTGCAGAGAAATGCACAGGACAGTGTTTTTAGGTGCTGTTCATGTAATGACAAACAGAATACTTAAATATCATCTGATTAAAAACTGGCCCCAGGCTTGGAAAACCACCAACCAAACAGGCAGACATACTAGGTGTTCAGAAATACAGTGAACACCTCGATGTGTAACAAGTTGTCAGTGAGTTGGAATATTCAAAATACAATGTTCCACATAATTTCATTTGACTTTAGATTCGTTAGTAAATAGGACAGAATATGAATCCTGGAAGATCAAGGGTTCCTAAATAAGGATGTGTTATATGAAGGAGCTAATGTTAAGCACAGTATCAACTAGTTAGAACCATAGAGGGAGAATTAAAATTATTCCTATCACTAATTTTGCCTATGGAAAAGAGAAAAATTTAGGTCAGTCCCATTCTGACTCTAACACATCCCTAATAATTCTAAAATGGAGAACAATCCCCAGGCCCAGCATCTTTCGTAAGCAACAGCATGAATTTAAGTTGTAATAACTGGGTTTTGTTTGGATAGTGTATGTTTCATTTTATGTTTTCACTGCAATGCTTCTGTAAGTAGTCCAGGCTTGCCTCAAAAAATCACTGTGCAGTCCAGGCTGGTCTTTAACCTAGGATCCTTCTGCGAAGCCTCCTGAGTGCTGAGACTACAGACCTGTGTCACTATCATGGGCTTCCCTGTGCCTATTTTAGAAAATCATCTTCTCTCGCTGGGTTTTCTTCACATAAGGGCACGCTGTAGTTTCCTAAAATATTTAACATAGTATATATGTGTGTACATATATATATATATATATATGCATACATATGTATACTCACACAGAGATTTATATTCCTCAGACAGATAAACTGAATTACACAGAGCAAGTGTCTTTGCCAAGATATAAACCAATATATCTACAGAGCACATACTTTGAAATTTTAGGCTGGTACTCTATTTTGTGCTCAGTTTGCACAATCTGGAGTGCATGTCCCTATGATCGCTGAATAAGTAAGTGTATTTCCAAGGGCTCTTTAACTGCATCCTTAGTCTCAGATATGTGTCCCAGCACACTGAAGTACAAGACCAAGCTGGGAATGGTTGATCCTAATCCCAACACATCTCTTTCCCTATTTCTCACTATACACACATACTTGTAAAACTC